AAGGCAATTCAGGAAAGACAGAAAGCAAACAATTTAGACAGACGAAGAGACAACACCATCCTGTGAAGAATTTGGTCTCCTTTTCTTTTTATTCTCTCCCATCTCTTTTCTTGCTAATTTAAACTCTTGGTTGGATTTCAAACCAAAGAAACACAGAGTTGGGAGAGTTGATCAGAATCCTGTCTTGTCTCCATTTCTCGCATCTCCTGTCCTTTGTCCCCTCCTCCATTCCCCGCTCCTCTCCCAGGTGACCTTCGTTGACTGACCCGCTGGATGGGACAAGTGGCGCCCAACGTGTGGGACACCTGGTATGGAGGATTCAGCGACGGAACCGTCCGAGTGAGCTCGCAAGAGTGAAAGTAAAAGAGGCCTGCGCCGCAGTTGCCTGCTGCTACGTCTGAACCTCAGTAAGCAGATGGCACCCCCTTTCCCTTTTACTTCGGCAATGGGACAGGCATTAAGCGAGCATGAGATGTTTGTTGAAAGCTTGAGTAAAGCATTAAAGGCACGAGAGGAGTAAAGGTTAAAATTAAGGATTTGTGTCAATATTTTGAATATATTAAACAAGTTTGCCTATGGTTCCTTATTGAAGGAGTGATTGATCAGAGGTGATGGAAAAGGGCTGGTCATGCCCTTAAGGATTATTATGAGACTTTTGGACCTGAAAAGGTCCCAGTTATGGCCTTTTCCTACTGGAATTTGATTGATGAAATCTTATCCCAGAGACACTGTGACCTGGTTGTTGCTAATGTGATAAAAAAAGGGTGAAAATATACTGCAGGGACAAAAGGGTAGTGCCCATCTTGGAAGGCAGGGGGAACGGGGATGGATGGACATAGAGAATGGAGAGGAGGATCTTGTGTCTTTTGATAGCAACAATGATAGAGATCACAATAAGCCAAAAAAGAACACAGAGCCCCCTAAGGGTGTGTGCTCTCCTGTAAGGGAACAGAATCTTGAAATTGAAACCAGAAAGCCAGAGCCACCAAATTCCAAATTACAGCCTGAGGAGAAAATTAACCCCTTTGATTTAGAAGGAGCTATGCTCAAAGTTAAAAAAAATATATCCCGAACTACCAAAACCTCTTCAAGTTGAAGCTGATTATAATGAAGTTGATTGGGATGAACTGGCAGAGGAAGCTGCTTGGTATCAGGGCTGAGATGGGCCACCGAGGTTCAGTGCCCTCCACCATATAGCACTGATCCCAGCGCGCCTCCTTCAGCGTGTTTGGCTTCTGACCCCAGAAAGGAATTAAAAGGCAAAATTGAACTTCTCAAAGAACAGATAAAATTAGAGAAAGAGCACCAAGACCTCATAATCCAATTAGAAAGACTAAAATCAGGAAAACTCAAAAATAAAAATAAAACCGGACCAAAGGCCCCCTGTGTTCAAAGGCCACCCATGAGGGGCGCTATCCCCAAAAGCTTCCTCCTGTTAGACCCACCAATAGATCTAGATAAGGCAGAGGCATTTCCCATGTCAGAAACAACAGGTGCTCAAGGACAGATTTGGTGCCATTACACTAGTTTCGATTTTAAAGTACTCAAGGAACTAAAAGTGGCAGTTGCCCAATACGGAGCCACGGTTCCATACACCACAGCCATTTTAGAAACTGTGGCCAACAATTAGCTTACTCCTGAGGACTGGCAGGCATTAGCCAGAGCCACCCTCTTTGGGGTGGGGATCATCTCCTATGGAATTCTTCCTGTATACAAGGAAGCCTCCACAATGATAGCTTCACTGTTGATGTTGGATTTGTTACCTTCACCAGCTGCAATCAAATATTTAACTACAGCAGCCCTATTTGCCCAAAAAAGGGACATGTGCTTGTATGTGGGGGAACTTTAGCCTTCACATATTTACCTACCAACTGGACAGGACCGTGTGTCACAGCAATTGTATTGCCTGATATAGATGTCATCTCTACTGATGATCCCATACCCCTTCCCAGTTTAGATTATGCTATGGGCCGCACAAAGAGGGCAGTCCAGTTCATCCCCTTATTAGAGGGGCTAGGAGTCACAGCAGCCATGGGGACAGGCACAGCAGGGTTGGGAGTAGCACTACATTCTTATACCAAATTATCTAATCAGCTGATTGATGACGCTCAAACACTGTCTGGTACTATCCAAGATATCCAAGACCAGATAGATTCATTAGCAGAAGTAGTCTTGCAAAATAGCAGGGGCTTAGACCTTCTAACAGCAGAGCAGAGAGGGATCTGCTTGGCTTTACAGGAACGGACAGAATTAGCCATGTTTCCCATGGGAGACCAAATTACAGGAATTACAGAGCCTTTATTCATTAGCCAGCAACCAGTGTGCTTCCCCTTCCCATTGGTGAAAACACAAAAGGTCCAGTTTTTTTATTCTCTACCTACTTTTATAATTTCCTTGTTGCTATGGCTACTGGGCAGGAGTGTGATCCCCCTATATCCTATGGTGCAAAGACTGAGGAAGAAGGATTTGTGGTTAAGCATGGGCAAATAGTCTGTCTCTTATTTCCCTTAATTGGTCTTGTCTCCTCCTTATCTCCTACATGTGTTTGAAGTTTTGACAGGGCAGGGTAAGGAGTGAGGACTGGGGTAATTTAGGCAAGGTTCCTTCTATGTAGTACTTCAGGCAGGGATCAAACTAAGTTGAATACTGCCTCAGTCTCTCTTACTTCCAAAAATGAAAATGGTATTATGCTTGATGTCATCCCTCACAAACCCACTTCTGAGCACTTTGCATTCTAATTTTAAAATGTTCTACATCATTGTTTCATGGATTTCACTATTTCCCACTAGAATTCTTTTAATAGTTCATGAAATGGGCTTTGACCTAGAAGGAGTGGTTGAAGAGAAAACAGGAATTATTGGATTTGAAGTAAGCAGTAAACAAAGGATCTTCTCCAATTTGTATCAGTTGTATCTGAGACAGGTTATTATGAAGGGAAGTTTGATGACAGCAGCACAGACTTGGGACCTATTGTGAGATTTCATGGTCTTCTAAAACATTCTAATAGCAAGAATTCAACAAAACACATTGTTTTTCATATTCTTTGTTTTATATCTTCTTTTGAGAAAATGTCATGCTGTACATTTTAGGCTAGATTAACCTTGAACTCAATATGTGGCCTCAACTTTCTTTGAATTCACAGTTATCCTCCTGCCCCACCATCCAGAGTGCTGGGATTAGAGGTCAGGCCTACATCTGGATGATGTCAGTGAATTTGAGAGGGTAAAACCAGGGTTTGCTATCTATTCTATGAACCACAAAAGTGAGGGAAAGGCTTAGTACTTACCTGGACATTCTGGTGAAGAAAAGAGGGAGCTTGAGTCACCTGACCAAGACCACACAGCTCTCTGAAAAAAGAGAGCATGGAAAAGGTGGGGAGGGTGAGAATTCTCTGTGGTCCATTCCTCTTCAATTCTCCCCACTCTCCCCTCGGTCCTTGTAGATGTCCTTTTCTGGTCCTTCCTTCTGTCCTGGCTCTGTTGTCCCATGCTCAGTACGTGACTAACTAATCTTCATCCTTGGCCTGCTTCCCTATTACCAACAACCTGTAAGGACGTGTTGGCCCTACTGGACAGAGAGTGTGGGTAGTAGAGGAGAAACTGAGAAAGGGTGAGTGGGACTGGAGTATAGAAAGGTGGTGCAACCCACTGGGATCTACAAAGCTGGGTACTATAGCAAGAGTCACTCATTTATTTCTGCAGCAGAGGCAGACTGACAAAACTATGCCTGATGTAGGGATGGTTTGAGCAGTAAAAGGAGAGACAAATCCTCCCCAGATTCCCTGGAGAGAGCCAAGTGAGAGAGTAAGAAACATTGCAGAACTTGAGATTCTTAGGACTCTAGAAAGACTCCACAATATCCTTCACCCAAAATCCTAAATCTGAGATAGAAATAACAAAATATACTTCAAAGAATAATGAGGAATTGATGCAATCTGAGCCACCCTCACAGATGAGGAAATGTAAGTTTGAAAATATTGACCAAAATCACACAAATGTCAAGGGTAGAGTGGAATTCAGGTGGTATCTGTTCCCCAAATTTCCAGTACCCCACATCACACCCTTCTCTCCAGTCTGTCTCAAAACATTTCCTGTTTCATTAAACCAATTTATCCACTATCACCTTTTTATTTTTTTATTTTTTGTGGAACAGTGGATTGAACTCAGGCCCTTTTGCTTGCTAGGCAAGCACTTATTCTACTGAGCTATCTCCCCCACCCTTATCACTTTTTTCTTTTGAGTAGTCAAGTTCTCCATTTATTACTATCACCTTTTGAAAAGTATTCTTATACCTTACCTTTCACTCTCCAACCCCAAAAGCTTCTGATTCATTTCAGCCAACAAGAAAATTCTCAGCTAAACGATGTCCCAAGCCAGTTACTTGCACTAAGTAGTGGTTATCCTTCTGAACCTCTGTTTCTACTTCCAGGTGATGAATAAGGCAGGGCACTAAGATGGAGGCAGTCATAGCTGTCTCTGCTCCTGCCAGCTCTAGTTTATGAGAATTCACCATCCACAATTATTTGAAAAGGGTACATGGGACATTTATTTTATAATCTGGTTAATTTTCTTTTAGCCAGGTGCATTGTAGGAACTGAGAAGTTAGATTTGCCCATGTGATATTTGCATGACCTTGTTTTATAACCCTGGATTGAGGATGAGAATTTTATCTTAAAAAATAACTACAGTGAATTTGTCCTTTTTTGGCTCCCTATTCTCAGTGGGCCTAGAGTTCTGGGAGCAATTGAAATGTCATCTATCAACCATCATCTTGGTGACCTGGGCTCTTTGACAAATTCATCATAGTGTTATTAAAGTCAAAGGTATAGGAAAAGAATATAATTCAGTTCAACTGAAGACATTTCTACTATTTTCAAATAAGGGATATTGGCTAAAAATTACTTTCATAATTGGTGAGGAGACAGGGTATCCTGTCTTGCCTGAGAGGATGTCTCTTTCTAGATGTTTCCTCAAGATCTTTGGCCTTACACACTCACCAGGATGAGTGTGCTCTCAACATGCACACTTCTGAAGTTGGACCTTCAGAGCCTGCTAAGGGAAAAGGGCTTGGTTATTGCAGCTCTTCAGGACATGCCAAAAGAGCTTTTCCCACCAGTGTTCATTGAGGCCTTCACCAGGGGGAACCCTGAGGTTCTGAAGGCCATGATGCTGTCCTACCCATTTTGGTGCCTCCTCTGGGAGCACTGGTGAGCCTGGGGGAAATCAGAGACACATAAATTTAGGTGAATATGTTCTAACTTCAGAAAAGAAACCTGCATGTCTTACAAGCTGTGCTAAATGAGTTAGATGTGCTGCTGGCCCAGGTTTGTCACAGGTGAGTCTGATACAGGTATCCTGGATTGAGGGTCCTGCTCATTGAGTGAGGAACTGGAGTTGTCAGGAGAGGGACTGGAAGTTAGAAGCTTCTGATACTTGGTCATACCCAAAAGAATCAGAAAAGCCATGGGCATTGCTGAGTCTCCTAGGAGTAGATCAGCATATGAAGATGACAGCTAAGTGTGGGGGTCACAGTAAAAGAAGCAGTAAGATCCTGGATCTTCCAGAGGCGCTAATAATAGGGATTGACAAGGATCCATTGGGGAAAGTGGAAGAAAAAGTGGAAGACAGAGAGTGACTGAAAAATAAATCAACTGATGTCTAGAATCAATCAAAGATGAAAGGAAATAGGGTCCTCACCAAAATGATCAGACTCTTTCTGAGTTCACCTACAGGGGACTCAAACTGCAAGTACTAGATAAGTGAGCTGTGAACCAGAACTTCTGTTGAGTTTGGGCCGGAGATTTGTTGGAATCTTTTCCCACAGAGGCCATGAAGCAGAGAAAAACACAGAAGAGTGAGCCAGAGATAATGGAGAAACAGGGCCTCAGGATGTTTGTAGACCTGTAGCTTGATCAGAAGTATCTGTGCTCATCCTATCAGGCAAAGATTGGATACTCCAATCCAATGTGCGAACGTTCTTCCAGGACAGGATTGGTTAAGTGCAGATGAATTGTACAAAGCTGTGTATTACAGTCACATTCATTCAAAGGATCACAGAATTCTTGGAAATACTGAACCTTGATTCTGTGCAGAAGGTGGATGTGCGTCACTGACCAACACTCTCCACACTGGATCATCTTACCCCTTACCTGTTCCAGATGCACAATCTCCACCAATTAATTCTCTCAGGCATTTCTGTGCCTGCCAACATTTCCTCAGAGAAAAGAAAGCAGCATTTTACCCAAAGCACCTCACAGATTCTTAAGCTTTACTTTAGTCAGGAGGTATATATGGACTCTATCTCCTTCTTGGAAGGCCACATGGACAACTTGAACAGGTAAGATGTGATGTTCTTGCTGAAGAGTGAGAAAAGCCCTTCATTGTCCTAGAAAAATAAGTGAACATGGGTAGTGTGCCAGTGACAGATGATGTGACAAAGATCACACACTAGAGTATCATCACATTGCCTTTTTCACTTCTTAGTCCTACAAAATGATGTCACATATCTACTCTACTAGAGTAGCCAGACTGGAAAGGGCCATTATGCTAAGATTCCAGTGAGGGCAGTTGTGTGAGTTCTTCTGTACGTACCTGGTCTACATTAATGTGATGAGAAGTAGAAAAAAGAGGGACCATTGAAGGGAGGCAAGTGCTTACACCTCACATTAAATGTGTGAGTCCCTGTCTCAGGAAATGGTCACAGACAGCCTTGTTGGTTACCCAAGTCAGTGTGTCCAGATGTGTTGTTTGCTCTTTCCTATCTGATGCTGGCCTCAATAGGAAAGAGCTATGGTCTTCTACTTTGGAGAGAGGATAGGGGACTGAAGATTGCACAACTGGCTAGTATCACAAGTGATACTATTGTGGGCTCAGCATTCACTGAGGTGGGGCAGGAGGAATGGCATGACATGCTGGGGACAAAACTCTGATCTTTTCGGCTGTCTAAGCAGGTGCTTTAATCCACTGTGCTATCTGGCTGGCCCTGAATTTTTTGTTCTGTTTTCTTTTTTCTTTTTAATTGGGTAATTTCAGACCCTACTGCCCTGCCAGGCATCTGTATGTTGATTCAGAGTTCAGCATTTCTGTCTAGGGCTAATACTCCCCAAGAAATAGAGCTGCATAGAAGATGAAAGTTTCAGGAATGAGAGGATTGATATATTGAGGAAGAAACGGCACCGCAAGAAGTGTGCCATCAACTCCCAGAGGTCTCAGGAGGCAGGAAGCAGAAAGGAATTTGTGGAATTTGTGGAGCAAGAGTGGAACCATTTAACACCACCCAGAAAGATTCCCTTATGCTGCCCCGACTCCCCCTTCGAGGCAGCACTCACAGATCTAACATTTCCCTGCTCAACCTCGTTCCTGAAGGTTGCACCAGACCCCACAGTGTCATCAGCTGGAAGCCAGGTCCTTAATACTTGAGCTTTGGGAGACTCATGAGCTCTAAGCACAACATGTACCCTTGAGTAGCACATGATCCAACATCAGAGAAAGAGACAAACAGGAAGCGATGTATAGAATCTACATGTTCACGGCAATTTAAAAAGGTAGATTCCCTGGGCTGGCTGTGTAGGTCAGCAGTACTACACATGGTCAGGTGACACCCAGGATTTCATCACCAGCATTTCAAAAAAACAAAAAATAAATCAAAACAGCAACAAAAACCAAAACCAATCTACCGCTTCTCTCTGGTACCATAGGCCACAGGATGAGGAAAAACAGTGTAGAAAGCATTCATGATATGGATTTATGTTTTCAAAAGAAATAACTTGGGAAACTCTTATTTCTGTAGGCATACTATCATACCCAGACGATTTTTTAAAATTTTTTTTAAATGTCATTTATTTGCTTAATATCCACGTATGTATTTGTTTAGACACACAGACTCACATACAAAGGTATCTGTGTATTTTAGGTGGCTACCTCCATTGAGATCCGCCTATGTATTCGATTTCTACGACAAACCCCCGTAGGTGACTGGATTCATCGGATGATGTCCCAGAAGCTTGGTCACTCTCACCGTCTGATCCCATCTTTAGATTCTCATGAACAATATCTTTTTTTTTTTTTAATTTTTTTATATTTATGTGTGTGTGTGTGTGG